CAACCTCTATATGCACAATTTACTAACTCTTGCATCTTATACCTATTGTTCTTGATTACTCATCCATAGTCTTTCCTGGGCTACTGAAAAAAGGATTATGTCATATTTCGAAGGGTATTATAAGTTTTTAGAAGTAGTGTGCCACTATTCTATCTCCCGTGTGAAGTGTTGGTATAATAGAGTGAGCGATATTGAGGTAAGGTATCGGTTGAGTGCTAGGTAAGGAGGGGAAATCAATCGACGAGGCTGTGAAGCTACATCAACTGAGATGGTTAGGACATATGTTACGCATGCACACCGAGCCATCGCCTTCCTTGATCGATGGGCAATGTTAGCTGACACAGGATCAGGTTGGAAAAGAGCTAGCGGTGGTCAAACGAAAACATGGCACCAGTCAATGAAATCTACAACAGTTAGTTAAAGCCAGCTAGCCAGCCACGTAGGAAGGTATAGACTTCCTGACTGGTTGGGGCCCTCAGGACGGTTAACACCAATAGCTGGAAATAGTCGGTAATATGGCTCAATGACAGCGCAGATGCATCCACTCCTTATTACATATAATACCCAATAAAACTGTATTGTTCTTTTGCTTATTACTATTCTTTTTGCCTCGTATCTCTGTTTACTGTCTCTGTTTTGCATTCCCTTTAACTTTCTTCTCTTGTTTTGTGTGCTACATGGAGGGAGTGTGGCAACATGAACTGCTGCACATCTGTGCAAAGTTCTATGTTGAAAACAGATAGACAGACATACCTGTATCGCAGGTACTGTATTAGAATAAAGCAAATTATTATTATTATTACTGTTATTATTATTATCATAATATTTACTCTGAATTTCGGTTTCCAGTCGACTGATGTAGAAAAAACAGAAGAGGAGTACTCACAAAGTCCAGATTGGTGTTTACTTAACATTAAATTTCGTTTCTTTGAATCACGTCAAAGTAACGATCAAGAATGTAATTGGCGGCTACACGATGATCAATATGATATTCTTGAACGGTTGAATGAATTGATTACCTTACTGGTAAGTACTCATTTTGTTGTTTGTTTGAAGAAAGTTATTTTAACAGCATCTAATTTATTATAATAAAGGGTTTTGTATTTCCCAGTGAATGAAAAACAAAACGATATTGTTGTTTTTACTGACGTTTCGCTATTGAATGCTGCTAATAGCTTTATCAAAGTATTATTAAACTGGAATTTACAAAATCTCAGCATATATATAACAAAGATTTAAGAGGTGAGAAAATAGACTTAGGTCAAGTTAAAAGGACTTATTGAAAGTCAAAATAGCAATGAAGATCACTTAACCAAATATCAAAGGTAATAGTACATCTGTTATGGTATCAAAACAAAGTTTACTAACTTGATCATCGTTCATCAGTCGGGGGGCATTTTTAGTTGTCAAGTTGACCAATTGGTAAAGATAACAAAACAACAAGTGTAGATTGTTGGATTTGATCAGTGTGTAACATTATAAAAGTAGTGTGTGTTTACATAGTGGACTTTCTTATCACATTTGTGTTGATTTTGTCACTTCATGGGGGAGGGAGGTGTTGTAACCAGGTCAGATTCTGTTTAGTCCATCATTCCTATTCAGACAATTTGGATTCCACTTAATATGAAGTGCTTCTGATGATATTAGACGTTCTTTGTGATTTCTGAAATGCTTTTTCTGGATTATTTCAATTTTGTGGCCTGATTCTATAGCGTGTAGACCTATGGCTGATGATTTTTCAAGTTTTTGTAGTCCAACCGGATTTCTAGGTGGTCGAACAGATGCTCTACGGTGTTTATTTCTTCTGATTTTGACTTCTCTCCGGCGATGTTGATCCGATGTATATCGCATCACATTCCAAGCATTTCATTTTATAGACACAATTAGATAGAAAATCTTTACGGATTTCGTCTTTTATATGGACGTCAGACTATATCAGAAGAGTACTCAATGAGCTTAACATTAGAGTTTTCCTAAAAACATCAGACACATTACGAAACAACCTTTTTCCACATTCTTCCAAAGCTAACTTCATTAAAAAAAATATGCTGACGATCTAACCATTTTCTGTCCCAGTAGTTTCTGCATTCGATTGTTCTTATGTGATGAATGATTCCCATCTCGGCATCAATTTCTCTACAAATCTCTGTTGATCGTCTCATATGATTGTTGATACCTAAGAAGATTTTTCGTTTGACATATTACACAATAAGGAAGTTGATACTTTCTGGCATTATAATTCAACCTCTTCTCTTAAAATTTATTAATTCATGTATTCTGCTCATTCTTCTTTATTGCTCCGCTTTATTCTTCTCTGGATTTCTCAAAAAAGGCTATGTCGTGTTATGTAGTACACTGAAGGCTGCAGGTAGGCAGGGTTAGTGGTGTGTATGCCTAACTGACATTATTGTCAATAGGCACTTCAATTCCTGCAAGCAGTTGGCTAAGGCTATCTTGTCTAACTCTGAACACTCGCTTTAATATTCGCAACCTTTTCCTTGTATATCTTCAATGGGGATAAAACCAGAATAAATTTCACGAGAATTTATACTCGTGCAGCTAGTCAGTGTAAAAATTCTCCGATACCACCATATTCACCACGAGTTTTCTGTAAAGAGTTAGTTGTCAGATGTCAGAAAAGAAAGTTATGTGAGTTGTGCCTTGATATGATTATGAGTAGTAATAAATTGTGCTCGAAACGTGGTCATCAGTAACAACACTGTGATTTTACCAAAATAGAATTTTATGCATAATGTCAGAAAAGAACTTAAATCAGTAACTGAACTGCAACGTACAGCGAAGATGATTATTGCATGTGTTATCTATGATACTATGTACTTATGCTTCATTATGTTCCCACCAGAAGACAGGACTCCAGGTGAATATAGGGGAAGTAGAGGTGATGAAGATGTACTGTTACCTCTGTTATTTGGTTAAGTGGTCTTCATTGTTACTTTGACCTTGAATATGTCCTTTAAACTTGACCTAAGTAGTGTATTTTCTCACCTCTTACCTCTTTATTAATTTCATATATATTCCTATGACAAGTCCGTGTGTGGTTGGATTTTTCAAAATGCGTTTCGCAAATACATTACACCATTCGGAAATCAATCGATGAGACTGTGAAATTACATCGACTGAGATGGTTGGGACATGTGTTACGTATGCCTAGTCATCGCCTTCCTCGACGGGCAATGTTAGCTGATATAGGGCCAGGCTGGAAAAGAGCTAGCGGCGGTCAAACGAAAACTTGGCACCAGTCAATGAAATCCACAACAGTTAGTCTAAGTCACGTAGGGAGATGTAGACTTACTGGTTGCGGTCCTCGGGACGGTAAAAACCAATGGTTGGAAACAATTGGTGACATGGCTCAAAATCGTTCTCAGTGGCGCAGATGCATCCACTCCTTGTGACTCATGATCTCCGATGAAACTGTTCGTTCTTCGTTATTACTACTCCTTTGTCTCACACCTCTGTTAACTGTCTATATTATGCATTTCTTCTACTTTCTTCATTTGTTCTGCGTGCTACATGGAGTGTGGCGACTTGAACTGCCGCACATATGTGCAAAGTTCTATGTCGAAAACAGACAGACATTACACCATTCAGACGAATTATCTTTTCTTATTGGTTTGTCTAGATTAATTGTGCCCAACTACCCATGAACCTTTTTAGTGGATAAATTTTTTCAGTGTCTCATCATTTCTTCTTGTCAATTCTACATACATAAATGGAATCTTTGACTCATTTTCGACTTCTCATATGAATTTAACTGAAGCATGATAATTACTCGATTCTTGTAAACCAGTTCACTTGTTGCTGTGGGGTCGAGTTAAGGTCATGCTCAAATCTAGTCTTGGGATGGGGGGCCAGTGACTCTTCCACTTTGTGGAGAATGAGCGACCTGTCAGAGAGATTAGGTTTGCTTACCGTGGCTTTCTTGCTCTGCGGCGTAAATGTCTTTCTGTCCTTCGTGGGCAGTGTGGCCAATGTATTGTCCTTATCTCGCTTTTTGCGAGAGACTACGTTACGCCATTCATTGGCGATCTCCTCGCTAATCGTAGCAGGATTTATCTGCCTATCACTCACCGGTGTGGATGAGGCTTGATCCACTAGTCCCTGGGTGACTTGAGCTGCAGGTTTTCGACCCCTGGTACGCTTCTTCTTCGTGGCAGTCTTTTCATTACTGTCACTGGAGGGCTTATCCAGTATCGTGGGGGCAGCCTGAGTGTCTGGAATGTGGTGAGTGCTCTTCTGCGCTGGAGGGCACTCACTTATTGACAGAGACGCATAGGGGACATGTGCTGTTTTGTCGATGACGCTAGTCACATCATCGTTGTCTGAGCAATAGTCGGTGTTCTCCTGTAGTGGAGGACGCTTGCAGTCCATGAGCTTTAAAGCCCCACTGAGAGTGGAAATGGCTTCTGTAATACGGAATTTGGTAGTACTACAACAGTCATTGCACAACCAGTTTGCTAGAGGTTTGCAGCAGCGTTTGTATGCTGCAGGAGTTAGGTTTGTGCACATACTGTGAAACCATCTCTTGCAGTTATCACACTGCATTTCCTCATCCACTGGGAATTGGCACATAACCCTTCCGCAGTGGTTTTTTTTGATGGGCATACTGTCTAGAGCGAACTGGGAAAGAAATTTAAATATAACTTTAAATGTATATAGACCTTTATAAATCAGTGATAAAAACCAATGAGTGCACAAAAATATATATAACTATTATGTTATAAGACACATCTTGCTATAATTTAAATAGACTCAGATCTGAAAAGTAAACTAACTTTGATCAGAATAAACTGATTTAAAGTTAATCTGTAGACCTTTGGAGCGTATAACACAACAAAAGCCAAAACTAAACAAGAGCGTGTAAAATTCACTCCCTTTTCAAAGTTCGCGCGCTTGCTTTATAGTGTATAATTAATATTGTGCAAATATTGCCTTCCTCTTCTTTTTCAGCATCTCTAGATCGAGAACTTTTCAGTCATTTGATGAAATTATGCGATTCAACGAGTTCAACCAGTTCAAATTTAATCGATTTAGAAAATTTTACTGATCATCGTGAACTCTCAATTACAAGCAATAAAAATAATGCTGATGCTAATGATGATAGTGGTAATAATAATAATAATAATAATAACAGCAACTCTAATCAACAAAGTCGCCAGTGTGAAATGTTTTCATATAGTGTAACAGTATTTTTCTTAGCGTATAATTGGCATTTTAATAGTTCAGTCTACACAATCAATTCTCCGTGTAAAAATGATCTCGCTGATTCTGTCTGTGTGAAAAGTCCTCTATTGGAAGCATTGCTCAGTGAATCAATATCATCTCGTCTATTCCTTGAAATAGTTATTCAAACATTCAATCGTAATTGTAAGTTGTAATAATCACTACGTTTTTTTCTATTTATTTAATTATTTATTTGTTCGACCAGCTCAACTAATTGTCACCAGCGGGTTTTTGGTTCGACCCCTCTTATTGTGGAGTTGTCAAACTACAATAAAGCAGGTGTGTCCAGTGCTGTTTGTGAGTTCATCAGCTTTAAGACCTTTGTCTAATGTGACGACCTGTGACTGCTTGCTACCTTGACGTCGTGGTGGTGATCGGATTTGCAATAGGGAACGACTCATCATCAATACCAGAGATCTGGAAAATATGACCACCAACCGTATCAAGAGATGAAAAGTCATGGAAGTTATGCGAGTAGTGTAGTGCGTTGATATAATTATGAGCAGGAATCAATAGTGCTCGAAACGTGGTCATCAGTAAATATAGCACTATATAGCACACATTGTGAGACTTTATCATCGAAATAAAATTTTATCCATAATGGAATTGCGTAAGCTTAGCTTTGTCTGTTCAGTTTTACTAATGTCCTATTTATTTGAAATGATAGAGAAGATTTGTAGTTCAGGTGAATGATTTGCAATTAGTAGTGTTCTCTGAGCTGGTTGGTTTTTGTTGCGGAGCTTTCGTCGTCCCAAGAAGTAACTCGGATTGATAAATGCCACGGAAACATTAATTTAAGTGTAGAATTTGGGCACACCGGTAGAATTTAATTCCATATTAGATTACTTCATTCTAAACATCACACAGTGAGTGAGTGATGCAATATTCACAACTGGATGACAATGTTTCGAGTGTAGATTATTGCTCATAATCATATCAATTTAATCACAGGGCTTCACAATTTCTCTCACAATGTATATACTTTCCCTCTCTCTCTCTCTCCAACCTCCCCTTGGTGTTTGTTGCGACTTTCCATAACCCCGGTAGAGGCGATATGTCATTCCAATTGCATGCGCGTGGTGTGGAATCGATAAACAAAGCTTCACTGATTACAATTTCCCTGTCCCGCCCATTCTATTGTGTGATAACCGAGCATTTTTAAAGGTTATTTAATTAAACAGGGTCAGTTATTCTATGTCTAGCTAAAGTTTCATGTTCCAGTAATCCAATTGACCCCGATCTACTAGTTTGACTCACCTATGGAATTGACCTCACAGTCAGCATTACACGGTATTTGGTAAACTGCATTAATTTTTCCTTAAGCCGACAAAGTTTATTTATAAGAGAGAGAGTTCGTTGGTGGATAGATTTAAATGCCCACGCTGACTAATTCCAGCCTCATTGAGAATGTTACATGAGGCCTTATGACCTTCTTTCTTTATACGCGAGTACTGCAGAGGCTTTGAATTCTGTATTATTTTCCTCGTTATTTTCATCATTTTTATTACTAATCTCGTTTTTTCTGTAGTTCTTAATGTATTTCTGAATAAATTCTGGTGGGTAGTTAGTTGTTCACTGGTAATATTTCCATTATTTATTCGACTTCATTATTTTAGTCTACTGGCTTACTAGTTATTCAGGCACTTGGCCCAATTAAACAGACATTTAACCAGATCCTTCTTTACTGATTCCGGGTGCAGACTTAAAGTCTAAGTATTTTGCATTAGAGTGTGTGTGTGTGTGTGTGTCGGTTTCCTATAAATGTTGGTTTTGTTAATACAGCGTAATCACTGTGTGTGATATTTTAAATAAATTTTTGTCTAATGCCATTATGGGTAAAATTTATTTTGATAAAGTCTAACAGTTTGCTTTACAGTAATACTTACTGATAACCATGTTTCAAGCACTGAATATATTCAGACGGGTCTATATGAGGAAATTAAGAAGCCTGTAGATACAATAATGGCTAAGGTTGAAAAATCTACAGCGGATTTAATACGCAGAATGAAGCCGTCACTAAATGACTCTAATTGGTTTAATTTAATGCCTAAAACTAATAATGCTAGAAGAATGTGTGGTACTATAAGATTACCTAAACCAGGATACCCCATAAGACCAATAGTAGATTTCGGGAATACCCCTACTTATGAATTATCAAAACACTTAGCTCTAATATTATGCCCCATTAGAAATCGTTCAAACTCTAGACTAACTGATTGATATGAAATGAAAAGGGAACTAAATAACATTGAATTAGAGAATAATGAAAAAATGGTCAGTTTTGATATAACTAGTCTGTACACTAATATACCAATCAATATGGCCTTAGAAGCAGTTAAAAAAGAGCTAACTGCAGATCCTGAACCCACTCATATGTCGAAGCTGCCCATTGAGAAAATTATTTTAGGAATTCAGTTATACCTCACATCTATCTTTAAATTCCAGGCCAAATTATATAAACAAATAGATGGTGTAGCAATGAGATCACCAATATCCCCTATAGTAGCAGATATTTTTAGAGACAGCTTGGAAAATATTGTTCTTAATACATGTAATCCTTCTCCAAAGATAATATGGTGGAGATATGTGGATGACACTTTCTCATACAATGTTAAAAGCAGAACTTATCTCTAGCTTCTTGACACATATAAACTCACTAGTAGAGGGAATAAAATTCACATTTGAACCGGAAAATGAACAAAGAGAATTAGCTATGAAGTTAGATTGCAAAATAAAACGAATAGAAGAAGGCAAACTGTACACTAGTGTTTATAAAAAGCCAACACATTCTGTTAATGGATATTTGGACTTTAATTCATCTCATCCATTGTCTGCAAAGGCAGGCTCAGTTGTTAAGTGTCTAACAAACCGAGCAGTAGCACAAGAAAAGACCTAAATGATGAAATGAAACAGATAGAAGAAGCGTTGGTATCAAATAACTATGCTTTAAAATTCATTAGGAAGATTGAAAAAGGCCAAAAGAAAAAGAATTATGAAACTAGTAATAATGACATAAATAAGAGAGGATCTAAGTCATCTACTGTTATACCACATAAAGAGGGGACATCTCAGACTCTACGTAGCATTCTAAATAAAGCAGGAATTGGAGTGGCATTCAAACCCACAAACTCACTCACGTGGGACAAGCTCTGTAGGTTAAAAGACCCTGTTGACCGAATTAGGCAAAATAATATAACTTACAAAATACCCTGCAATGACTGTGAGTTAAGTCAACTACATAGGTTAGTCAAACTAGTAGGTCGGGGATAGTCAGATTGTCAGAACATAAGAATGTAGGTCAGGTAAGAATGGTTGACCCCGAAGAAGATAAGTAATTTAGAAAAAAGCTCATCAATTGCACTGCATGCACGCATTAACAAACAACCACACAACAGGGTGGTGGGAGGGGGTTAAAATTTTAAATGGTAATCTAGGTAGGTGAAGAGAGAGGTTGATCACTGAATCCTGGTTCATCCAGTTATCTACACGCAACACGTGCAATAGGAATGACTCATCACTCATACCGGAAATATGGAAAATACTACTACCAATCAAATCAAACGATGGAAAATAATGAAATTATTTGAAGGAAGTCAGAAATTTGTGTGAGTAGTGTCTTGTTCTGATTATCAGTGGCAATAATTTGTACTCGAAACATGGTCATCAGCAAATATTACTCTGTCACACATTGTGAGACTTTATCAAAATAAATGTTACCCGTAATGGAATTATACTCTATCACAGTGCACAAGTTTTATACTTATATCAAATTTTATCTAATATGGAAATAATCTACAATGTTTGTGTTTTTTGGTTTCTAATTTCAGTCGACCCAACATTTATGGTGTCTTTTCTTCCGAAGCATAAAAGTGATGACAGAGAAAGTTGTCTAATCCAATGGGTTAACTTTTGTCAGTCCAATATACATGACAGTTGCACTAATGATACATCTACTGCCACTACAGCTAAAGATTTAGAGGAGTTTTTAAAAATATTTGAAGCTAATTCACGCGCTGACAATAATACTCATGATGATTTAGAATATATTGAAAGTCTGTGGAATTCTAATCTAGGCTGTCGTCGTCAAAGCGGCTCTTTAGAGCTGACTGACAACAAGCCAGTACTGTCTGATCATCATGTCAATTCAACAACTATGCCTACAAATACTGTAATCAAATTTCTTTGTGATTTATTCTACTCTCCGGATATTTCAGTGCTGATCTATCATAATGATTTTGAAGTGATTATTGAAGTGATAAATCGACAATTACGCGATTTAGAACCTGATTCTGAGGTAAGTTTTATTCAATGATAAAATGTCTCTTTTTGTGCTTTTTTCATTACTAGTAAGTAGTAGTAGTAAGGCAAGCTTATCTTACTGTCAAGTCCTGTGTGGTGATCAAAAGCACTACTTAGCATAAAAAATGAAAATAAGATGCGGATTTTCAACTCCAATGGGAAGTCAGTGCTATGTGCTATACGGATCAGAGACTTGGCGCCGCACCGCGCCGTGTCTCGAAAAGCACTTCGAACAAACTACAGACCTTCATCAACAGCTGTCTTCGCTCAATACTACTCAAGGTCAGATGGCCGGCCAGAAAAGATGAGCAACAGGGATCTCTGGCAGTGAATGAACCAACTCAGCAGGAACCAATTGTGCAAGAAATATGCAGGAAGAAATGGAGGTGGATTGGCTGGCCATACTCTGAGAAAACCAACCATCAAGTGACATCACATGCCAGGCTCTTTCTCGAGTGGGACCCGAATGGGAAGCGGCGAGTTGGTCGTCAATGCGTGGGTGAAATGGAGTGGAGGAGGTGATGTGAAGAGGAGATGAAAGCATATGGGTAGACGTGGAGCCAGGTGAAAACGTTGACGGAAAACCGAACTCAGTGGAGACGTGCGTTTGAATCCCTATGTTCCTCTAGGAACTACAGGAGACGATAATAATGATAGTTGTCTTATTGTTATATCTACCTGGTTCACTGATCCAAAATATCCTTTTTTCTCTTTTCATTTACACGCATGTTATTATTATTATACGTTTCTTACGTTACAAATGAAAAATAAGGATTCTGTGGAACGTCTCTATTGAATTCCCGTCCACTGTCATTGCTTTCATTTCCACCTTAAATGACCTTCTTTATCTCACACTTGGACCCATATCAAGTCCGTCAATGCCTATTCGGTCTTCACTCGAAGATGTGGATGTGTAGCGTCACTTGAAGGTCTCATCAGTGCATGTCCAATACCTCTCCATTCTCTTCGCCATGTTTGTTGGTCAATATTTTGTTGGCCGATTCGCTAACCATCACCACTCCTTGCTGTTTATCTTTCGTATCTATCTGATCTTCAACATGGAGCGAAGATAGCTGTTAGGACTACCTTTGTGCCGTCAGTGTCAAGTCTCTGAACTAAACTGAAGTGCCGATTTAACATTAGTTTTTAAAATTTGCATGATAATAGTAATAATAATCACTTTAGCCCAAACAATAGTAATCATACACAGTGTAATTTTTCGGCGTTACGTAATCAGATGAAAGACAGGATGAAAACATCGAGTTACCAGACAGGGCGAGGAAAGACTGATAACCGCTTCTTTCTGAACTCATGAATCAGGTTTCAGGCACCTGATGGAGATTGCTTCAGCAAACATGAGGAGAATTGAACTCTTTTGCCTATTGGTAATTCTAAAGTATCTTACGACGTCCACCTCATAACCCATGTCAAGGAAGTGCCTGACAATGGCAATGTTGAAAGCATTTGTTCCCTTGGGATGTAGGCTTTTCGGTACATGTTCAGAAAATCGGAGGTGTGCCCTTCTTTCTATTTTCCCAATGTAACTGTCCCTCGGCAGACACATCCAAACTTATATACACAGTTGCAGTTAACGTGAGGAAAGTATCTGCTGACTTTTGACTGTATCAAAGAGCATGTCGTCCGATAAACCGGAACCAACTTACTTACTTTACTTTACTGCGGCTATCTCCTACGGGAGGATGAGCCGGCTTCATGAACATCTCGAATCATAAGAGAGTTCATGAAGTTTCGTGGGAATTTGGTACGAGTGATGTCCCCAGAATCGCTCGGCCTTTTGTTTGAGAGTGCAGCTCTAGCCTTTACACAACCAAGTGTGACCTACAAGGCAGTAGGAGTGGAGTAGGGAGTCCACTATCCATTGGCAGCCGGTGACCGGAGTTCGGTTCATACGCCTTTTTGAATGAGGCCAGACATCCAGGACATCCAACAAGCCCTTTGTCCATACGTCTGCCGGCGAGCTCCAGTGAGCTTCATACGCCAGTCGTTGGAGGTTTGGAATCAGGGTTTAGCCATCTCCCCTAGACTGTCATCCAATGGACAGTCAACCCGGTGAAGAGCGCCGGGCATCCGCTTTCGCCCTCTCACTTTGGTGAAAAACACCTCCGCCACGTGAAGGCAGTGAGTAGGACTTCCTCAGGAGAGGCTATGTAAGACGCCCGGTCATATGGGGGCATTTCAAGAGGTGTGCGGAGGGGTGGCCAACCCGCAGCGCAAGGCACCCACCCCCGACCATCCTGAGGCTTTGGAGGCAACTTAGCTGCCAGACAGGCTCTGGCTAGTGATACATTCAGTCTTTTGTCGGTTATTCCTGCAATATTATCACCTTTAAAATCAATTTGAATGAAGACAGGCGCTTTTTTCCACCTGTGATTTGTTTAACCTATGAGCCTTGACATCTTCCGTACTTGTTAATAAATTTCTCAGGGTAATATTTTTATTTTTCAAAATTAATGAGAATTAAGAAATTCCTTCTCTAAGTTTTCGGTAGACTGTGTTCTCCTAACAGGGTTATTAACCGGTGCTTGTTTATGTAACCATTTAGATGAAAACTATTAAAATGTGAGTAGTAGTGTCGTTTCCATGTAGCCTTTCGGTAAATTGATAATCTCTCCAGACACTACCATACTCCTGGCGTTATACATATAGTAATGTCAAGGAATTGAAGTTTTCGATCACTTTCCTACTCCATAATGAATTCAATGTTTGCATGTGTGTGTGTGTGTTGGCGTGCGTCGCTGAATAATCCGAGTAGGTAGGAAGCGTGATTTCCACTGTCGCATACTACAAATGTGTTGTCGACATATCAACAGTAAGAAGTTGTTTTGTCGATTGCAGACTTCAGCTTTGTTCTTTCACGGTCTACTATAACAGAACCAAGTGGACTGTCGATAAACTATACCATCTATTTGACATTAGTTCTGGCATAGTATATTGAAACTATTGATGATATCATTACAGGATTGCGCTTCGGTCGTGAATTGTGAAATTAGAGAAAAAGGAGGGAGGGGGGAAACGGGGAGGAAATCATAAAGGTCAGGCCAAAGTATGCTATAAATGTGGAATTAAGCTACCTACTGTCTCCTTTTGTGTATACATTAATCCGGCTTCCTTAATCTGATTACGTAATAAGCTTTTTTATTACCTTGCCTATTAACAATCCTAAAACCTTTGAGCTTGATCACAGATTGATGTCAGTTAGAGAGAGGACCATTGAAAACTAAGTCCCTGGTTCGAATCGTAGTGGGCGTGTGTACCTCTGAAGTGTCACAAACTAGGACGAAACATCTGCTGTCCAGTACTTACTACTTATCTAATGGTTTCCTAACTGATATCAATTCCTGGTCAAGCTTGAAACAAACCCTTTACTCAACATCACCGTTTGATCACAGTCCATCTTGTGACTGTCGTGTGAGATGATTGAGCACCTTGACAGGTGGTGGTGCCATTATGATTAGTAGTGCTAGAAAGCCGACAGACAAACATCTTTCTGTGAACCTACAAAGTGCATTTTGTTAATAACTTATTCCACATTGATAAATAATGTTCTCATTTTCTTATTATTATTACTTTACTTTGGTTTCTCCTCAAGGATTTACCTCATTTCCTGCAACTCCTGGGCATCATGTCAGCCAGTTCATGTCTTACAGTAAGAGATTCCGCCAAAATTCATGATACAATAGATTCCTTGAAATCAATTTTACAATCAGTATCACATAGTAGATCGTGTAAAACACTTGCACTGACTGTATGTAAACAATTAAATACTGTTGTGAATTCATTCACTAAACAGTAGTAGCCATTACTATTATTATTATTATGGTGATTACGTAAGCATTGTTATGTCATAAGCAGTACATTATTACTATTATTATTACTATTATTGTTATTATTACCAATGTTACAACATTCCATCTGCATAAAGTTCTATTCATTATTCATTGAGAGTTTATATTCAGACAAAAATATAAATTTTTCGGATAAATTTTTACCTTTTTTAAAAAGGTTTCGATCATGGATTGATGTTAGTTAGAAGGGAATCATTGAAAACCAGTTGGGAGTACTGGATGGCCACCTGTTTCATCTTATTTCGGGGATTCTTCAGAAGTTTGATCTCACAACGTGAATGAATAGGAACCAGCATATTAGTTGGTTTATTAGATATATCAAACAGGGGAAATTCCAATGTTAGATTGTAACGTAGAGAGGAAAGAAGATGGGAAGTTAAACACTAATGTGTGTTTACAGGAAACCCACACAATCAAACAAATATTTGGTCTTCTGATCATCCCACCCTATGTCAGTGAAAATAGGATTGGTGAAATGTTTAAGTGACAGAGCACAAAAACTAAGTAGTACCAAGGAAAATCTAAGACAGTAAGAGAGACATATAAGAGAAGCTTTGAAACTTAATGATTACCCTGATAAATCAGTCAGAACGTATGTAGGGAAATGTAAAAATAAAATAAATAATGATAATAGTGACAGTGATATTAATAATAATGATAATAATAATATTAGTGACGACATGCATTTCACACATGCGCAAGACAAAACCAACAATATGGAATCTAAATCATCAGCGGTAATTCCATACAAGGAAGGAACCTCGGAAACTACCTTTCGCAGAATTCTTAACAAGACAGGAATAAAAGTGAGTGGAATCCCAATGAGAAGCGAGGAGTGGGTTGTTGGTGTGAGGGTGACATGGAGGAGATTATGAACAATCGTGGAACCAGCTGAAGAGGAGAGCAGAAAATAGAAGAAAGTGGAGGTGTGTTGTTGAAACCCTATGTTTTCCCACTCGGAACCCAAGGGAATTATAGTAAATAAATATAGTATTCATCAATTCTTATGCAATGAAACAAAAGCTAGGGGAAATTCAATCAGAAAAAAATGGAAAAAAAGTGATTAGTTTTGGCATAACAAGTTTGTATACAAACATTCCCATTAATACAACGCTGGAGGCAGTTAGAAATCAACTGTACCTTAATA